TCTATTTGAATTATATTATTTTTTTAATTTTAAAGAACATTGAAACCTGTTTTTATTCGTGTAAACAACACAAAAAATATTGTTATTGAGGTTGCCAACGGGTTAAGGGGGCCAAAGCGGGGGCGATGTGGGTTCTACGGGTACATGTATATATATACATATACACATAAGCATATATAAGTTATATGCCTTATGCTATATGCTATGCTCGTGATGCTGGAGACCCGGAGGCTGAAGTGGCATCTTCTGCGCCACTGCATCTTTATCATCTTCTTTTCAGCTTCTTATTTTCTTGTTTTTGTTTTTGGGTTGAGCATTGTTGTTTTGTTTTTGTTTTTATGCTTGGTTCATGGCCCATTAGCTGCATTTGCGCGGCTTTTGTTTTGGGGGCCAGTTTCTCCAGGGAAGAAGAAGCCTTGTTTATGTGGCACTCGGGGCAGTCAGGAGCAGGGAATATTGCGCGCCAAAATAAGCCACGAATATCGAAAAATCGAAGCCAAGCCAAGATGAGCGCGCGCCTTCAAGATATGGGGAGCTTATCATTAAACAAAAGACTCAGAACACGAACGCGGGAACAAACGCGGGAAACGGGAACGAGAGATGCCCAAAAGCCGCTTAGGGCTTGGGGGAAGATCTTCTCCAGCCTCTGTCAGAAGAATATACCGCCATAAATCGGTCATAAATTGGCTGTCGCTTATCATAAGTAAATTAGCTTTCATTTTGAGAATTTTAAGAACAAGAATTTATGATATTAACATGGATTAACCTATATAAACCTATAGTATAGTATAAATTAAAATATTGCCACTTTTTAACAAATTCTTAATTATCCACTTTTGACTTAAAATGAATACAAAATGAGGCGTTTGAAGTCCTTAATTCCAGCTCTAAAATCTATATAAAATCATCAAGCCTCAAAATAAAGGATATAAGTACTAATAAATAAATAAAGGATACAAGTACTAATAAATAAATAATAAATAATGAAATAATGAATGCATTTGAACTCTATTTCTTAATCCCCCTTGTCACACTTTATTTCAACATTTTTAAGTGGCTTCAACTCACAAAACTTTTGACAATTATGATAATTCTTATTCGCAAATGCCTGCGTTTGCTTGTTGTTTGTCGTGCAACAAATTGTGGCAATTACTTAGGCATTCCTACACACAGGAGTGTGTGTGTGTGTGCGAGTGTGTGTTTGTGTGCACCTGCAGCTGGCTAATTAAATTGAAATGTAAAAATTTGAAATTCATTTGCCGCTTTGAAAAAATCACTTGACGCATTCACATCGATTTCCCGCTAACCATAATTTGCAATTTTCCACGAGAACACGGCTTATTATGATCAGGCTAGGCCCCGGGAAAATGGGCGCAGTTGGGGGGTTATAGTTTTTTTTGGGGGCGTGGCAGTGGCAGTAGTTGGCGGCTGAAAGGAAGGTCGCCTCCAGTTGCCACGGCAGTTTGATCTACATTAAGACGACCGTTGCCCAATCAGCCTCTGGTTGGGGTTTTCATTTCGTTATGCCTGCTTAGATCAGGTGGAGTTATAAGCTAGACATTATTTATATATATATATATAGCCAGGGATTGGGAGGGAGACTGGTGAGCCATGGTGGGTGCCTGAGGCTAGCCACTCCTTTGATTCTCCAACAGATATTAGAAAACATAAGCTGTTGAAAGCCTAAACAATGGAAAGCTTTAAGAATTTAATTGTAAAAATAATATATATTTAATTTGTATATTTTATTAAATATTCCTTAAATGAGCTTTAATTTAAAAATTACAAAAGACTAAACATTAGCTTTCAATTCCAGTAATTTTAATAATCTTTAGTATTCTCCTTTATTTTAATTTATATTTAATTTCCGCTGTCTAAACCTTAGCCTAAACTTCCCTCGATTATAATAATTAACACATTAACTCATTTACCCTTTTCATTTGCAATTAACCCTTAAAAAGGAAAGGTTAAAAAAGTATCCTCAATTAATGCCTGTCAAGTTCTTTCAACTTGTTTCAATTTTGGTAAAAAACCATCTGCATTTGCAGGACCTCTGCCAAGACTTGAGTTAAAAGTCTTGTCTCTTGCAGCTGAAATTTAAAAAGGATAAAAAACCAGCAGCTGGTTTTTATACTGTTCTTTTTTTTCTTCCTTTAAGTTTTAAAAGATAAAACTTGGACCAACCAGGGGGTATATCTTCGGAGCTAGGACGCCAATTTATGTGCACAAATTAAAGAGCCCAAAAGAGAGAGAGAGAGAGAAGAAAAGCCACAAAGACAGAGATAGAGAAAGCTACACAGGAGAAGAAAATAAATAAAAAGAATATAACAATGTTTTCTACAAGATTATCCTAATAATTTCTTGAGAATTTTGCAAAGGAAATCTCCCAAAATATAAAGAACACTTTGGTATTTTGTAGAGAATTCTTCTAATAATTTTTAAACAAAAATCCCCACAATATAAAATAAATGTGAACATTTTCTTAATTTCTTAAGCATTTTTCATATTAAAAAAATTGGAAATACGTTGAAACAAACTAAAATAAATTATAATATTTACTTATGTTCGGATTTTACAGAAAAAAATCCGCTTAAAATAAAATAAATTTGAATATTTTCCTAAGGTTTTTCTTCCTAATTTCTTATGTTTACTCTTTAAAAAATCATCAAGTTCCTTCTAAAAAATCTAGCCTCTTTAGCGACCTTATTTTTCTTCAAGTGCTCAAGTTAAAAAAGAGAAACGGGTTAAAAAAACGGCAGCATAAAGGCAATCAAAAGGCTGCCACATAAATTTATAAGCTGCGTCAGCCAAATCCCCGCTCGCTCTGGCCAAGAAACTTGGCTTTAAAAAAACGAAGCGATTGCGATATGGACATGGACGCGTGCTGCTCCGTAAAAGGGGGTATCCACAGAGAGAGAGAGAAAGAGAGAAGGGGGCTCTGCCCAGGGGAGATCCCAAGGAGTTTCCAGCAACCAGGAAAAGGAGCCTTCTCTCTGGCTCTAGCCAAAACTGGTTTCGCGGTTTATGTTGCCATGTTTTGGCCCTGTCCCCAGGTTCCTGCTAAATTTAGCACGAGCTGGCCATCAAGCTCAGCTGGCCAAGAAGAGTCCCAAGTCCCAAGGAACCGAAGAGCTAAAAAACCCAACAGCTAAAGAGCTGAAAGGCTGGCAATAAGGGCCCAGGCCAAAATAGTTTTTTGGACTTTGAACGCCAACAGCTTGTTTGTTGTTTGGCCTGTTGTGTTTTTCCTTTTCTTCTGGCCCAAAGCTAAGCATTGGCAATTGCAGTTTGGAGTTGCCCATCTAAGTACGTGTGGATGTGTGCATGGCTATATAGATGGATGTGCATATGCCCAAAGTTGGACATTGGCCATAGGGAGGGCACTCGCATCGGTGGTTAAGTTAGAAGAAGGAGAAGGTTGGTAAAAGAAACAAGGGATATATGGTATACCTCGAAGGAGTTAAATTTGAATTCAGTTTAAAACCAACTAGATTTCTTAGGATTTTCTATATAATAAAATAATAATAAATTTGTATACCGCTGTTCTACACAATATTGACCGTGTTTAAACCTTAACTGGGCTTGGTCTGATCCTAAATCGCATTAGTACTCGAATTCGTATTCGCCTGGCTTGTGTTTGTCTTTTTTTCAGTTTGTTTGTTTGTTTGTTGGCGTTGCCTTTCGTTTGCTTTGCCTTGGTTTGTTTATTTGTTTGTTTTGGTCTGGTTTTGGCGCGTGGACTGTACCAAGATCAACATCGCAACTGCAGCAACAGCAGCAGCAACTGCTGCATGTCGCACTGTGCAGGCTGTGGCTGTGCAGGCAGCTTAATTGACGCGCCAGGCAACGTCGTCAATTAATAATGGCAACAACCAACCGACCGGGCCAACTCCCCCCGCTTTCCTTTCTCCTACTTCCCTGACTTGTCTCCAGAGAGGAGACAGTCGCCGCGACAAGCAGCATAAATTACAGTTGCCATTAACAACAGCAGCATCAGCAACATCATCGAGTCAATGGAAAATTTATGTTTGACTCGTGCCCAAGTCAACAGCTAAAAGCACGATGAGAAATCACAGGGAGATTATAAATATAAAGACTTAAATATAGTAAAAATATGATCAGAAAATATATATGTATAAAAAACACATGTCAAATAAATATTTATTAAAATATATTCCAGAAATATTTATTTAAATATATTATCTAATAAAGATTTATGAAAAAGGAAATAAATATTTTAAATTGGAACTCTTAAATGCTTTAGCAGGGGAAAAACTAACCACTGAAGATCAAGAACTTTTCACTTAAGGCTTTAACCCCAGGGAATTTAATTCTTCTGAATTTCTCCCAGTGCTGACTTTATTTTCCCCTCCCGAACCCCTTTCAAGAATCTCTTCCAGAGGCCAGTTATCTAGAGTTTGGACGGTCATCGTCATCAAGATCGTCCTCGTCATCGGTCATGACGTTAGCCTGCGCATCAGTGATTCCCAAATGAAGGAATGTGATTGCAGATCAAATTACAAAATAAAAATAAATAAAAATAAAAGGTAATAAACAATACAGAGAGAAAAAAGAGAGGTTCTTAAGGAGTCAAATCCTTTTGTGCTGGCTAATCCCATGGCCATGGATGTGATCATCAAAAAGAGAAGGTATCCTTTATACTTCAGATAAGACTATTAGGGATGGAATGCTTTATTAAAGATATAATTACCACCCGAGGCAGAAGTCTATTGTCTTCTAAGAGGATTTGTGAGCATTAGGTTTTTCTTCTATAAAAGTGATTTTTCCTCTTTACAAGCTGAACATAATCTTTAACCATGAGATTAGTTTGATTTTGGTGTCTAATTGCGGGTCAAAGTAAATTATTTGTATTTTTTTTTTTTAAGTATTTGCCACTGGAAATTATTAAATGGACTATGAATTTTATAGGTAGAATATTAAATATATAAATATTCAATATATAAACCCCAAAATCATTTGTAAATTATTCCCAATTTTTTTTATATACCAAGATGTAAAAAATATGCAACCGAAACAAATGGCAACGAAGTGTATTGGTGGTGAATAACAGCCTCCCGGGGCTGCCTTTCTCTTTCTCCTTTGCCAGATTAGAATGTCTGGAGCTTCTCCAGCTTCTACCTTCTCGCCCCTCTCTTCCTTCAGATTCACCGCCTGCCGCCTGGCTAATTACGAGGCTAATCAAAGCTCGATGCGAGTCAATTAAGAGTCGGCGGCAATCCGTGATCGGTGGCTCCAATGAGGATCTCCACAAGCAATGACAATTGTTGTACCCGGCGAAGGTAGCGGGAGCTGCTGTCTGAGGGGGGGATCGGAGCCGCTTTTGGGTGCAGTGCAGCTGGACAACCGGTTTGGCGCGTGCTCTGTGCTCCCTGCTCCCTTTCCTCCTCGTCCTCTCTTTCGTCGCTTTGCACAAATGAATTAATTAAAGACGTCGACGACGCCGAGGGACCCCAGAGAGATCCGATCGGATGAGCAGCCTGGCTGGACCAGCTGTTCCTCTAGAAGTACTCCTTGGACAGGTGATCGCGCGCCTCGGGCTTTCGCCTGTTGGAGACACCATCCGACTCGTCCATCATGCTCTCCAGCATACGTTGCTGGCGAGGATTCAGCTGCGCCAGGTGGATGTCCCGTGTGGCCCGAAACCTTCCGCAATTGTACAGATGCTCGTTCTCCAGCCGCACATAGTTCCAGATGAAGCGTCTAAGAAGGGGGAACAGGATGGAAACAGGACATAGGTTCAGCCAAAAAAAAATAAAAATAAATAAAAAAAGAGAGCCGAAAATCGTAAGCCGCTGAGAAACCGCTTTTAGGAATGCCAGAAAATGTTGATATATCGATAGATTCTTGATATTTAAAGCGAAATTGGATTAAACTCGATATATCAGTGCCTTTTTCAAATTGTGCCTAGTTAGCCTCTAGAAAACTTTTGGAAATATTTTTCGAAATAATATAATCTCCACTAAGCCAAATTTAAAGACCCTACAAGGGCAACCGATGATGAAGCCCAATAAAAGGCTTCACAACTTATGAGTAATTATTTCCCTGGCTGAAATAGTCGCCTCTTCAAGTCTCCCCCCCTCACCTGGTGATCTCCGCAATGCTAGTTATCGTCCGTAGGTTGTACGGCGCTATCAGGTTGTTGTAGAAAATTCCAAACTCCACAGCCCAGAGCCAGCGGAGACAGAAGTTCTCCACGATGACAAAGTAGTAGAAGGCCTGCGGATAGACGAGCTGCTGCCGCAGGAAGATCCCAGGCCCATCCATGATCTGAAACAAGCCAAAATCCCTCAGAACATCCCACAGATAACCATAGATGGTGGCCGCCATGCTGCTGACCAGGAAGAGCCAGGTGTACGGATTGCTAAAAGGACTGCCATGCCGACCTGGAAAAGGTGATATCAGTCACAAGTTATGGATGAACCCCCAAGACTACCCTCCGATCTCTGGCGCAGCGTGTCGAAGAGAACCACCAGAAAGGACATTGAGTACTTTCCCGCATTGAACAGATAGCTCACCGACTTGGAGCCACTGTCCCGAAACCGTCGCAGGCACTGGGCAAACCGAAACCAGGCGGGCAGACACCGCACAATGGGCACTACAATCACGTCCAGGTGGAAGCATTGGGAGCTCTGCTCACGACGCAGCCAGCAAACCACAAAGAAGCGCACCATGATGTAATGATCCACCAGGCAGTTAACCAGCGAGTTTAGCTGGTCGCCCATCCAAAAGTCCGCAAAGCCCACATAGTGCAGGGGCGCGGTGATCACTCGCCCTAGGAGCTTGATGGTCCACCAGCGAGCCTTCAAATCCAAAATGGGCAGAGGCATCACCAGCAATCCGGTCATGATCAGGATGAGGGCCAAAGGAAAGACAAAGGGATCATTTAAATGCATGGCCCTGTGATGGAGAAAGCCCAGCATGGACAGCGTCCAAAGGATACCAAAGATGCTGGCAATCTCCAGATACCTAGCCGGCTGCATGTGATTTCTTGGGTCTATCTCAAAGATGAGGATGTGATTGACGCCCGCCCGCTGCCAGCCAGCCACATTGGCCGCCATGTAGAGATTGAAAATCACCCAGGTGAGCGGACCTCTATACAGACTCATAAAGGTGGCCGTGTTAACCGCAGAGGGAGGTCGCTTCCAGTCTAAGAGGAGGAGAAGGAAACCCAAAGGCGAATCAATCAATCAATTCTCAAGAAGAGACTCCTAACACAACCTACAACTGATTGCTGTGCCCAGGAAGAGCATCAGGAGCATGCCCAGGGCAAAGCCCGCCTGAAAAACCATAGTTGGTGACGAGGGTTTACCCAATGGCGGCACTCGTAGCTTAGCCATGGCCAATTGTCGATTCCCTCCGGCCAGATGGGTGGTGTACAGATCCTCAACCTCACGGATCATGCGCTGCAGAAAGCGACTGTCCGTGAAGACAGCATCCTCCACATTATTCTCGAACCAACTGCCGGCGGATGTGGTGCGTAAATTCTTGTCAAATTTCTTGCAAATCTTCCGGAAGCCAGTCTCGTTCAGCGTCTGGTAGTTCTGGATGAGAACCAGACTCAGGTAGAACTCACAGTAGGCCGTGCTCAGCTGGCCATGGGTCATGGTCTTCTTGGGCGCTGTTAGATTCCGGGCCTGATACTTTGATCCTTGGCTTGGATTGCTGCCCTGTTGCGAAAGCATGGAGACCTCACTTCCGGTGTAGCCGGGTGCCCGGGAGAAGGCCAGCAGCTGGAGCTTAAGGTGGCCATGCTTTCGCTTCGCCTCCATGAGCTTCTCCAGAAAGAAGTTGTCCACTCGGGTCAGCTCCAGCTGGCACTCCATGAGGAAGCGCTCCTCGAAGGCACGGTAGTAGCTCTGGATTGCATACTCCTCAGCCAGGATGGTCGAGGGTGCGTCCTCCAGGCCACGCCTAATCATATGCTTGAGATCCTTGAGGATAACAGGGATGAGTTACTCTCACTATCTCTCTCCAGCTCCTTACCCCATATCGCATGTACTGCTCGCGCCACTCGACCGTCAAATGGGACTCGAAGGTCTTGCCGAACTTCATCGCGGAAGGGCGGAAGCCCCCAGGACGTGCTTCTATGGCTCGGAGAGTACTCCGTCAGCTAGCCGGCCCCGTAACATTCGTATTTCGTCAGTTTGTACAAGTTTTGACATCTTTCTCCGGGCAGTCACTGAAGTTTAGGTGATTTTGCAGGATATTTCAATACAAGGCATTTGCCTCATTTTGTTGCCGAAATCTTAGGAAATTGGTTTAATTCTTGTTTCTTATGGGTTATCTCTATGATTTTTATGCATTTTAAGTGTTTTGAGACAGTTGAAGGACGAAAGACACCCTTTTATCCCTTATAAGTCTGTCACTCTTACCTTCGATTATTATTTTGAAGAGTATATATGATATTTAAATGGTATTCAGAGTTTTAAACATACCTGAAAGTAAAGGAAAAGTAAGTTTAAAGATTAGTTTGTGATTCATTTGTATAAATATATCATATATATAAATATATAATATAATCTAAATTAAAAGTCAAAATAACTCAATTAAAGTCCAAGAAACATACATTGCAATTTCTTTGCCTCCATGTCAGTGGATATATAAATTAATCCCAGTCAGCCCTAAGAGTGAGTGGCTTTTGCCACTTCCCTCGATTGTGATTCACTTCCTCGATCTCATTATGCGTTCGCACGCTGTTCTGCTCTTCCTGTCCAGGCAAAGCTAAAACTAAAGCTAAAGCCCAGACTGAGACCAAGACCCTCCCAGAAGTTGAGTGAGTCAGCAGAGCTGGTAAGGAGCATTTATCAGTTGCCAACGATAAGGGGAAATAAAATAATTACTAATAAATACAATATTAAAATAATAAAATATAATAAAACAAAATAGAAAAAAATATACCTAGGCTTGGGCTCGTCCGGGAGTTGAACCCGGGACCTCTCGCACCCGAAGCGAGAATCATACCCCTAGACCAACGAGCCGGCTCTGATGGCTGCGAACTTTTTTCCTACCACTTTTGACTCATAACTCTAGACAGCTGTCCCTTATTGCAAAAATACATACATATATATAGATATATGAAGAAGCTCTGTACTCTCTTCTGGGTTCTTTGCAGGCCTTTCTCCGTTGTCCTTTCTGCGTTCCTAGCTTTTCGCTCTCGCGGATCTTGCGGGGCTTCTGAGGGCCAAGCCGCTCGAGGGTGACGACGATCAGAGCGATGTGACGCCTACGACAAAAACAAAGAGATGCCTAGAATGGCAACCGCAAAGTACAACAACAAATACAACAACAAGGAACTCAACAACAAAATACAAGAACAAAAAAAAAAAAAAGTCAACAATAAATAATAAAGAAAGCAAGCCAGGGATAAGTAATTCTCAAGAGTCTCTTTTGTTGTTCTACTGGAAACAAAGCATTATTACGCAACAGTTTATGGAATAAACAGAAAGAAAAAGTGTATAAAAATAAATAAATGAATACAAAATGTTAAAAATAGTCTCTAAATAAAATTGCATTTTTTTTTTAAATATTATTAATTATATTTTTAAAAGGGAATTTAGAAGAATATGGGGATTCTTTAAGGTTTTTTTTTCGTTGCACATTTCTTCGAAGATCTGTAAATCCTGAATGTGTGACTTGTCACAAGAAAATAAAATAGTTTAAATATATTTTAAATAGGGTTTATTTTAATTATTTTTTTGTGTTAAATATACTTAGAAATCTAGTGTTTTTATTAAGTTTGCTCTATAAACAATTTCATTTTTTACACCTTAAAATTTTTACAATTTTAATATATTATTAAATACTTTAATTTGTATTATATATTTATATTTAATATTTTTAAATTAATTTATTTATTTTATTTAAATATTATTATATATTTTAATGTAATATTTTGTAAATTGATTTATTTATTTGTGGTGTTTTACACTGGCAGCCATAATTTATGAGCCACGCGACGCAAAGAAACAATTAATTGACAAAGAAAAAAAACCGGCAGCCACCGCAAATCGATTTGTTACTTTTTTGTACTATTTAACCCCAAGCCTTTATAGTATTAGGAAAAAAGATCTATACATATATAAAATACGCTCCGATTGGGGTCACAGGGTAGCGCCCCTTGGAATTCGGTCTGAGATTCAGATTCGTAATTAATTAGCGGCCTGGGCGAGGCCTGGAGCTAGACAAATTTTCCAGAGAATTGGAGTTTTATACACTGTTAATTGGTTTTTTTTATATATAAAATATATTTATAAATTAAAAGGATTGGTTGTTGTCAGGGTGGGACAAAAAGGAAATAAATAAAAAATATAGGAAAAAGAAGGTTTCCAAAAGGAATAAATACATATAATGAAACTTAATATTTAAAATTATACAAAATTAAAAAAAAATAAAAAAAAAAAAAAAAAAAAAAAAAACATTAAAACCCTGAAATTCTCTATACTTTGAGCCTTACATAATTCGTAAGTTAAAGAAAATAAGCGGAAAACCCATTAAAATAATGACTTCTTTGTACACCTCACAATTAGGAATAATATTATTAATAAGACATAATCTGCACAGAGAACATGGCCAAAGGAAACCCAGCCCCGTCATTGATACCATCTGCCAGCATCCTCAGTTGGCCATTTTCGCAATCAATCAATTAGTGGGGACGACCGCTTCCTCTCGCGCTCTCTTCCCCCCTCAGCGGAGACAATGTGTGGCGCCAAAGCGGAAGTAGGTCGGGATAGCAGGAGAAGCATCCACCCAGTGCCAACTTCCGTTTTGATTGGCCAGCAGGCCAGCAATCACGGCCAGAACTTGTGCAACTTCCGTGCTCAGTCAATGGAAATTATGGCATCGCCGGAGCTGGGGCTTCAGTTACAGCTCCAGCTCCTGCTTCAGCTTGGTAATTACAAATGTCAGTGCCTCAATTGGCAATTGGCAATGCGTAATTGGCTAATTGAATTGCCATTGATCGGTGGATGGAAAATCGAGTCGCAGTCGCCGTAACTGCCACATCCGATCATTCATCTTGGCTCCATCACAATCCCCGTCGAAAAATCCCCTGCTCCTGCCGCTTCTCCTTCTCCTATAATTAATCATCCAAAAAAATCTTTCACACAAAACATGGTCCATCTTTGATGGTGGTCTAATGCCCTCTGATCTCTGATCCCCTCGGCTGTGGGTGGTTCTCCGGCTTTGAAAATACTGGCTAATGACGCCCCCGTCCAAAAAAAGTAGAGAGACCACACATCATCATCAACATCTCTCATCGCTCTAGGGGCTTTTCTGGGGATTTCTCTGTTGAGTTTTCCAACGCCATGCGGGATGCTAAAGAAAACTACTGGCCCGAGTTGCTCTGAGAGCAACAAGAAAACCCAAAACTCGATTTGGCCACTGAAATGGCAATTGGAAACTAGAGCAGACTGGCGAATTTATTTTGCTTATAAGCCGGCCACAGTGGGTTAAGGTCCATTGAAAAATTATCGAAAATTATGGGAATTAAAATATTTAAACTTTCATTAAGTTATGTAAAATATTTAAACATACAAATTTAACTATTTTAAAAATCTATATATTTAAATCTCATATAATTTTTAAAGTAAGATATGATTATGTATTTATTTTTCTTTAAAAATCCCTTTAAATATTATATTTAAAAAAGTTTCCACAGATTTTTGTAAAAATTAAGTTTAAAAAAAAAGGCACTTTAAAACTTAATAATGCCCATATGATACACTAATGCAGTTTTCATTAATTAGCTACTTCATTAGAACCTTGAAAGAGACCACTATATGTGTAATTTTGTGTAATTTGGCTTGAATTTTGCTTGGATTATTTTGGTAATACGACTACGGTCACATCGTCCGTAAAAGGTAAACAAAAAAACGGACGCCATTCGCGGCGTATTACTATGAATTTCTGAATTCCTCGTCGAAGTATTCTTGCATAAATAAATGCAGAATCCTTTAAATTTATGTTTTTAACCTATGATGCTTAAAATTTTTTTAATTATTACCAAAAAAAAATTTTAAATTAAATTTACAGCGCAAGAACCTTGCCACCGCAAAACATATTATTTTTCCTAATTTTCTAATATTTTTTCAGTTAAAAAAACCAGCGAAATTATATAAAAATAAATATCTCATTGTGAGACCATACTGTCAATGAGCTGGCTAATACATTTTTCAATTACAATTTTCTTCATTAAACCCGTATTTTGTTATCGAGTATCTAGTATATAATATGTAGATCTATCGATTATCGCTCCAATGAAGTAGCTAATGCATTATTCTAATGCATTAGAGCGCCATATAGTCGTCTTGCTCGCACTTGTGTAAAACGCTATAGCGCTGTCAAATCTTTAATGAAGTCTCTAATTAATGCGGCTGTGTCATATCAGCATAAGTAATTAAAAATTTATAACTTTACTCAGTCAGAAAAAAAGTAAACTTGAAACAAAAAGAATGTCTTTGCCTGCCATCTACAAACTCCAATTTAATATTATAAATGTTTACTTCTTGAATGAAAAAAAAAAATTTGTAATTATTTTCTGCAGTCAAAACAAAAAACCCTTCCCACTGTGCTAACCTGTTGTTGGACTCGATTATGATTTTGGCCCCAAAGAAAGCATACTGCCAAAATAGAAATTGAAATACTTATAGAAAAAAAATATATATATACTATACGATATGTACAGACGAACAATGCAGGAAATGGGCATTATTCTGGGCCCGGCCATAACAATTACCTCTGCAATAACCATTACAATTACCACCACAAACACTCTCTTGGAATTTCTAATCTCTGACTCTCGGCTGTCGGCTTTCGGCTTTCACCTTTATCTCTCTTTGGGCCCAAAATTCAGACCCGATTCTCTCTTGACCACACGGAAATGGTAATGGAAACGTTAGTGGAAATGTAAATGGAAATGTAAATGGAAATGTAAATGGAAATGTAAATGCCGTGTAAATACACAGCGGCGAGGCGGCTAATTGAAAATGCAACGGAAACAGCGGAAGTGCAGAGCACTCGGACCTGAATTCGTTTCAATTTGAATTGATTTCGGTTCGTTTTGGTGTATTTGTGATTGATTGTGTCTCAATTAGAGCCAACTGTGACACAACACAACACAACACACACAAAATGGGAAATGGAAAATGGAAAACAAACTGGTATTCCTAATGAGAAGGGACAATCGGTTCGATTAGCTAATGAGATTGCATTTAACAGATCGAGTTGGTAAACATGCAAATGAAAGAGTATCTGGTGGGAAAAGAAAGAAACTTTAAATAAATAAAATTAAAAAAAAAAAATTGTGTAGAAAAATGAAAATAAAATCATTGATCGAATTTTTAAAAAAGAAAAACCAAGGTCCTCTAAATCTGTTTGAACACCCATTAAATTTATATCATAATTATTTTGATTTATTTTGCAAACTTAAAATAAAATTAGAAACTATGCTCGATCTCTATCTATGTACCTTCTATTATTTCATTTTATTTTCTGGCAACTGCCAATTGCTGTTCACAACTCATCAAACAAAGGACAGACTTTATTTAAATTTGGCAATTGTTGCCAGCAGAGTCACGAAGTAACATCATCATGGTCAGCATTGTTGTTTCAGGGCCAAAAAGCGAATGCTGGCGGGCTAACACCCGCATACTTAATGCCCATTCTGTTGCCCGTCTTCAGTCTTGTTTCGGTAATTGTATGGCAACAACAACGGGCAACGGACAACAAACATTGAACAACGAACGAACATCATGTTCAGCCATTCGAAAGTTGTCCATGTTCAATGAACCTTTTAAACTGTTACCATTTCTTGTGCTCACTCACTCGAGTTCGTGTCCGCAGTCTTTCGTTTCAACGAAAATTGAATTTCCATTGGCCGTTCGGCGCTTCGTGGAAATTGTGGAAAGAAACGGTAGCCCAAAGTGGAAAGTGTTTTCCGGTCTCCCGTCTTCGCCACCTCCTTTTCTCCATCTCCTCTTCCCCGATTAATGGCTCTATTAGGCCGACTAATGAAGTTGTCCAGAGAGAGGGGGGAAAAGGAAATTTGTTCTGATTGCAATTCCATTTCAAGGTGACTTTGTAGGTCGGTTTGTGGATATTTATTATTACTTTAATAATAAAAATTTAAATACACATTAAATTGCATATTGTATTGTCTTCTATTATTATTATAATAATGTTAAATAATTAAATGCACACTACATTGTAAACTTATAGCCTGGTATTCCAGCGGTCAATGTGACTATTGCTTGGGCAGTTGTCGATTTTAATAGGAAATCGATAATTGCTTTTTTTAATACTTGAATACTTGTACTTGTTTTAACAGCACTTATTTTAAACTTTTGTCAACACTGATGATTTTTGTTATCGGAAATAGTCAACTTCGTCGCAATGAAAATTTCATTTTTCAGTTGGCACACAGCCTTCACAGAGCTAACATCTTATTTTCATCCTTTTTTCTAAACTTTTTTTAAAATTAATTTTTATTTATTTATTTTTTTGTTTATTTTGATCAAAATGCTTTTTATATATATTCTTTTGTTGTTCATTTTTTAATAATTCACCTGTCGTAATCCAACCAACTCCATTAGTAGGTTGGTGTATGTGTCTTCGCTCTTTTCCTTGGGGTAGAAGTTCTTATTTGTGCCTAAGAAGAGCTCGACTTTTCACAGGCAACGCTTTCAAGTGGAACCGTCTTGGATCTACATTTTTCGGTTTCTTTTTAATGTTTAAAATGTTTTACTTTTATTTATCGAGTCTTTTAATAATTTTGTTCATGGTTTATTTTAATTTTATTTATTTTTTAATTTATTTTTAACTGTTAAGTAATATTACATATACATAGACATATACATAAAACTAGATATAAAAACAAGTAGTTAGGGATAACCTATCTAACAAAATAATAATAAACAGTAGAAATAGAATTATTCACAAAGATAATATAAAATTCTAAATATTTATATATGTCGGAAAGTACATAGGTTGCTAGGTACAAATTTAGAATGCTTGTTGCTTGTCGCAACAATAGGAGAGAGTGAGAGAGAGAGACAGCTTGAGATTGTCTAGGATTGACGTCTGAGTGAAAAGTAAGAAAAGGTGAAAGGGCCACAGGAAAAGTGGCGTGATGGCAGATACGATTTGACTGCGCAAGCGAACAGAATTCGCTGGCTCGACTACGGTTTACCTAAATAACGGTTGTCTCCGACATATACATACATATATATATATATATATATATATCTTGTACCTTTCCGCCTGTGGATTTTCTAGTGCTGACCAGAAGACGACTTAAAATTGTATCTCTTGTTTCAACTTTGTATTTCTGTTCTTATTTATCATCATTTTTTTGTTTTTTTTTTTTTTTCGGCCTGAAAATTTTTCTCACATTCCTAATGACAGCCAATGGGCAGTCTGTCGCGGCCACCAAGCGGGGAAATCATCATTTGCTTTTGGCCATAAATATCAAATTCATATTAGTTGCCAGCCAAGTGGAACCCCTTTGGCTTATCGTGTGAACTAATCTGAGGGGAGTCGCTGTCGGAACTGGAGTCTCCGCCATCGTCGTCGTCGTCGTCGTCGTCGTAGCTGTGAAATGATGTGCGAGTCCGTGAGCATGGTACTTCCTCCCCTTCCTGGGACCCCTTATAAAGTATATATATATATAGTGAGTCGTATAGTATCATGGACCGATTGTTGACCGTCTCGTCTTTGCCGCTGAAATTGAAGCCCGGCCTGCGACTGCCGGTTATTTGCAGCTACTTTATTACACCACAAAAGACCCAAGACGCTGGCAAAGAAGCGTCTTCTTGAAGGCTTCTGCCCTCTTGGCTGATTGTACGTGCACTTGCAGAAACATTTATACACGAAAATAAATTATAAATAATAATAAATATAATTAATTTAAAAAATTTATTGAAAAAACCTAACTCTTATTCTATGGAAATGCTTTCTTCAACACAATTTCTATAGAAAAAAAAGTAAGCCTAAAAATAGTATAACATGATTTTTTGTTGGTTAAAGAAAGAAGATGTATCAATATATCGATCTCGTATCGATTCGATACTGGATATTCGATATTATGTTTAATAAATCGAACTAAATATAATCGAACAGATCTAAATAAATACATATAGCATTTTCTGATGCTTTTTGATAATATCTATGTTTATTCATAACAAAGCTATATTTTTCTATATTTTAAATTTCAGACATTTTCTCTGTATATATAGAAACATCCCTTTTTGTCTGTTAAAATTTATACATTTTTATTAGACTTTGAAGCGGTGTTTTATTTTTTCAAGTGCAGACCTTGCTGTATATGCTTTTTGTCGCCGAGGGTCTCGCGTTGCAGTTGAGTGCCCCCGACTCCGTTCTGGCCAAAAGAAACACATTAAAAGCATATCAGATGGAATCATGGGTCTGTTCTCAGCGTTTGTCAGTTGCAGGTTGCTAGTTGCAGGTTGCTAGTTGCAGGTTGCTAGTTGCAGGTTGCAAGTTGCTTAGTTACCAGTTGCCACGCACTAGCACTAGACTCTTTGACTTTGACCAACAATTTTGTAAATAGAGACAAAAAAAAAAAATTAAAAAATTAAAAGAGAAACAATCAAGCCTTGTTTGATCTCGGTCGCCTCTAAAGACAATGGATCTGTGGATCTTGAAATCTTTGGATCCGAAAAAAAAGCCGAAATCAAAGCTGGCAAACTGTCATCAAATGTCTTGGGTCCCAAACTTTTCGGGGCTTGGCCCACGCCATTTGGCCACATTTGATTGCCATTGTCTTGTCGCGCTGATTTGTTTCCATTACCAAGACATTGTCTGTGTCGTCTTCCTCGGTTTTAGGGTAAACCAGGGGTATATACGGCTAGTATATACCATAAACTGGAACTTTCCTAAATATATTTAAAGTATTTAAAATTTTATTTAGGATATACTTTATGTTGATTACAGTAATAGGTATCTGAGGTGTTTGAGAAAGTAAATCCGATATTCTGAGAGTGTAAAGTATCTAAAAGCTGAAATCCCATACTTGTTGATCATCTACAAATCCTCGGGCTGCGGCTGAAGTTGCCTCAAATCCTCGATGGCGTAGCGCAGGACGAACCTGTCATTATCGCTGTTCTGTGGCATCTGTAAGGGCCAGTCCGGCAAGGATCTCGTATTGGTGCCGTGGTTATGGTTGCGCCGCTCACCCGGCAGACGATAACGATTTCTGGCATCCGGATGATGCACAGCCACAGGTAACTCCACTTCCTTCCGCTCTGCCTTCGGCTTAGCCTGCCGATTGCCCCTAAGCTTGGCCTGGAGCTGCTCGTCCCACTCCTTGGCTGTGGGTATATAACGCTTCGATGACGAATCCTTTTCCTGCTGCTGCTGCTGCTGCTGCTGATTTTTCTCCCCACCCATTTCACGTAGCATCCTCTCGATGCGCTCCTTCTTCGCATATCTTAGATTATCCACGCGCATCCTCTCCTGGGCGGTATACCGCACCGGAGAGTGCGAGAGGTGGATAACTGACATCGGTGACTCTAAGCTGGCTCCGCTCATATTATTGGGGAAGAAAGGACGTCGACAACGTCGCTGTTCCTCCAACATAAGGGCCTCCAGGGCCACCTGTCGTTCTTGAAAACGAAGATGTTCCTGGACAGCCTGGCGCTTATTCTCGAGTATTAAGAGACGCTCCTCATACGGAGAAGTGCTGGTTACCATCTCCTTGCCGTAATCTATGGGATTTCCATGGCAGTACTCTCTGATCTTCTTGCCTGCCTTTAGGCAAGGCATAATTGTGTATTCCCTGTCGTTCAATAGAACCACTTGACCAGCTTTCATCAGGAAAAGTTTTTAAATATTAATTGGAAGAGTATGAACAAAATAAACAATAGATATGCCACCTTTCATTGACAAATTTGGAAATTGCCTCCAATAGAGCTTTACAATTTCATCCTCCTCCAGAGCCCCCAGGTCCTCACCAGAGCCAGCTTTTACCTGGGTCATGGCATCCTTCTTTTCTCCCTTTTTGTAGTTTCGCGGCACAAACTCTGGGGCACTTGCATTGAGCTTCACTGTACCCCCTTCATCCTTATCAACTTCAATAGCTTTGTCCTTGTCAAGCTGTGGCGATGACTTCTTGAAGAGCAGCTTACCGAGACAACTAGCTTTCACAAATTTTTCCATAATTTTTATAGTTATTTATGGGAGCGCACAGCTCGTTATTATAGAAGCCACTGACACTGGACACTGAGTCTACTTGGATGGACACACAACCCGAAAAATCAAGGCCTACTATGGATCCTTAATATATTTTAATTTTTAGATTATAATTTCATTTTCTTATATTGAAAAAAATAGATAAGTACAAATTTAGATTATCGAATATATAATTTATTTTTTGATATATCGAATTTTAAATATCGAAAACATCGCAAACTATAAATGTATTCAATTTTTCAAATGGAAAATGTCGTAAACTTTAATGTATCAAAATTGTTAATATAAAAAATATCATAAACTTTGATAATATATCGAAATATTTAATATAAAAAATATAAACTTTGAATTATCGATTTTTTTTTTTAAATTTAAAATATGTGAACAATATCGCATTTTACTAAAACTATTTATATATTATACACGAAAATTTGTATAACATTTTTCATGTTCCACTTATCAAATAGAAAATAGATTTATAGCCCATATATCATAATGTTTTCGATCATTTTCATCGACTATAGCAATATGGGTATTGCTTACCAGTTTTCAGCCATAATTCCCCCTGAATCACAACTAAGAGGACTCAATGGCTGTGTAAAGCTCGTAACACGTATCGTGTCGCCTGATGCCACGCCTTGGTCTTTTCGTAAGAGTGGCATGTAAGCAATAAAGCTGAATAAAACCGAATAAAAAAAAAGAAAAAGAAACCGACATAAGAAATAAGAGCACACGCCGTCCGTGCAATTAGTTTAATGTTAGTGGCCGCACCTAGGCCTCACCCAGCCTCCTAAGATCCCAAGATGCCAGCTCCCCGATCTCCAATCCCCAAACCCCCTATCCCCCATCCCCCTTGAGCTGTCTACCGGGGTTAACTACTGTATCTGGATGTATGGTGGATGTATGCGCCAGTGAGTCATGGCGATCGATAGAGAGATTTATCAAATCGATAATTGAGCGAGGCCCGCAGACAGTTGCACAATATGTGTAGCACTCGATTATCGATCGATCGCTGCTAAAGCGTTGTGAAGATGCTAAGGCCTACAGATGTGTATTTAGCAAAAGGAAAGGTGTACGATATATTTAACGTACTCATATCATATTTCAAATGTAGTACACTTAGATATATCGAAATTTTAAATATCGAAAGATACCGGATTTTAAGTTTAAATGTGAATATCGATTTTTAAGATAATATTCAGTAATATAGGCTGCAGTAGGCAATATCTGTGGCGACATTACTAAGCCAAGTTAATCTTTATAAATACATATGCTAAAACTGCTGAACAAAATCTTGAATGGATAGATAGATACCGTATAACGTGTTACCAATAACTGGGAAAAAAAATCTCAACTAAAAGGTGAAGCAATGCTACTCCCAGCCAACCCATTTCTGGTTGCAAACGGACTAATTGTTGTACGAACTCTACCGGCTTTTGCATAATTTCCCTGCCATCCCCATCCCATAACCCCATTCCGAGTTAGGGAGCATATCATTAATATACAAATTTATGTTTATTAAGCGAGCTGCTCATTTCAAATTTATGCAACTGGGGTGGTGGTGGTGGCGTGGCATGGCGCCTTCTGCTCCCTGGCTGGCAAAAGAACAACTGCTTTGGGCCAAGCTAACTAACAACCAACAATTGGCCATGTGAAAAGTTTACCTTGACTGAGAACTGAAACGAGATATACAAAGACACGGAGAGGGCAAGCTGCAGATGATGATGATGAGTAGGTAGCTTGGGCTGCTGCCCACCTTATATGGAGCATTCGTGGCGCCCACATCCCAGCCAACAACAACCTCTCCGGCTAAATTTAACAACAAAAAACCCAACGAAATTCGGCGGCCAATTAACACAATTCAATAGATGATGGCTAAGACTAAGGCTGTCGCCGAAGGTTGCTACATATCTCCTCCACTGGAGGCCATCTATGAGTTCCTCATCTTAGTTTTATATTATTATAAGCTAGAAAATATATATGGCTTTCATAGCTAATAATTATAATTTATAGTTATTTTTATATAAATTTCAGTCCTACCTGCACGGCACAATTGAGGAAGCAATTATTCTGCCCGGGTCCATTGAGCAGACCCTTCGACGAGGGCTCCAAGCTGGGCGACATCAGGCTGTTCGGTGCTCTTAGCAGTTCCAGAATTCGGTTACGCTCGGAACCGTTTTGTAGCGAACCCACGGCATAGGGTTTGGGCGGTGCCTGGCCGTACAGAGAGTTCGACGTGGCAGTTGCTCCGCTAGCTCCACTGGCCAGGCGATACAATGTGCTGCCCGGTGTGGTGGTCATTTTGCCTCCACTACTGCGGGTTGAGTTGTGAAGCTCTGTAAGCAAAAGAAGAAATGAGAGGTAAAAGACAAGTGTCACTCAATCACTGATTTCATGTCGCCATGTCATCGGTCACTTTCGACTCTGACAGCAACTGAGGGATCCCAGATTTGAGATTTCAAAAAGGAAAAAAAGAGATTCAAGATTCAAGTTTTGAGATCTAAGATCCAAGATAATGTGGGTTGGCCCTGACGTGTCGCCGGCAATTAGTCGCAGCTGTGAAAAATTTCCCTCATGTCAAAGTAGAAGCGTGAGCACGAAGGTGGATTATTACACGGAATATTATACAGATAGCCTAGTTTCTATAACATATGTATATAACATCTAAAACTTGAGAAAATACTTTGAAATTATCTATATTTTATACAAGAAAAATGATCATTATATTAGTACCCATTCTATCGGAAATTTTGTAAGATTTTCCCAGTGTAAGCTGGAGAAATTATTATTTTACAAGGTTTTTATTAATGATTAAGAATAGTTTTTGATAATTTAAGATGTTATATATTTTATTTTTAATATTTCAATAAGTAAAAGATATATGAATAAGTAAATATATAACTATGCTAGCACTTAAACTGTGTTAATTAAAAAAAATTAAAACAAACATAACTTCTTTGAAACTTTATAAATATTGATGAAGCGAAATCGATGCTAGAAAATCCTTAAGAACGGCCACACCGGCTATTCCGGCACCGATTCTCCACTCTCCACTCCCCAAAACCGGAATGCTTGGCATTTCTAATCACAAATCCCCTCTCCGACCGACTCCGCCCGAGTTCTGCGAGTGAAAGTCGCGGCGCCAGAGATACTACCAACATTGGCAAGTAGCATAAAGTTGGCTTTTGCGTAGCCATGGAATTTGTGTCACTCGGAGAGCGGAAATGGCCAACTGAGATTATGCAATCACTAATTGCAGGCCAGTTGTCATTCGCAATTCATTCATTCATTCATTCATTCATTCATTCATTCATTCATTCATTCATTCATTCATTCATTCATTCATTCATTCATTCATTCATTCATTCATTCATTCATTCATTCATTCATTCATTCATTCATTCATTCATCAAGACGGCACACGGCCAGCATTTTTATTTCTTTTAGATGTTTTCATTTCAGCTCGCATTGCGCACATTTTCAGCTTGACACGAGTTTAGCCACGGAGAAAGCTTTCGAAAAATAAACATGATTTGTTAATAAAAAAAATTTTAAAATATAAATTTAAAAAAATAAAAAAAATAAAAAAGAAAAAAAGACAAACTTAAGGTTCCACCGAGATTTGAACTCGGATCGCAGGATTCAGAGTCCTGAGTGCTAACCATTACACCATGGAACCCACTTGATTACCATGAGCTTAAAGTGTCAGCATATATTTCTAAAAAGAAAAATATTTATTATTAGCTCTTGGTATATTTAAGGCTAAAAATAAATTTTAAATTGCTGAAATGCTGAAAAAATTCAAGACTTGGCAAAATATTTATATTAATCTACCAAGGGTGTAGGTAAATGCTGATATTATAGCTTTTTTTTCTTTTTTTTTTTATTATAAACATTTTCCGAGAACGAAATAAACGTAATTTATACGCTTTCTAAGCTACTCGTAATAAATAAAATTAAAAAATGTAAATTTAACTATTCTTCCCAGAAACTTCCCTAAATAAATACATTTTTGTTGATCTTTCCTTGAAATTGTTATGTATTCACGTTCCCGACATTATTATTTTGATTTGCCTCAAATACCCAAATTTCAAACACAAATCAGCTTGATAAATATGTTGCAACATTTGAATATTAATATTTTTTTGAGAGCCGGGAGCTTGCCCTCAATACCTGGAATCGATTTTCAAGTGGAAATCGGAGAGCCGCAAGTGGAAATCGGAGACTTCCAATGGTCAATTTGGGTTTTATGCTAATTACCGATATGCCCCCCGAACGTTGCTAATTGATAAATGCTGCCTACCATTTGGAGACCCCTTAATTAACATAATCTGGCCCAGATGCACCTGCAACGGGAGAGCTGAAAGCTGAAGCAACTGTTTTGCATATTAATCAGGTTGGTCAAGAGAATGGAAAAAGAGGTGAAAAGAGGGGAAAAAAAGGTAGCCTGATGCGGCATTTCAATTGCCGTTGCGTGAAATGCCACAATTTGTGGCAGCAGGCAATCAACATTCGACATCCAACATCGTCTCGCTGTCAATTCAATTCGGAATCTATCATTGGGCCATGCAACATCATCTGGTAAATACGGGCAAACTTGATCATTTTCCACTCTTTTTTCAGTTTTTTCTCTTTGTTTTATTATTACTTATTCGGATAATTAAGAAATTCTTGTTAAATTACCTACTGCAGCTCACGCAATGGCTGGGGAAACTCTATTCCTCGAAATTTATCATTAAACATGAAATGAATACTTAGCTGTATTAATATTTTTTATGGCGAGTTTCTTTATAAACAATATTTATTAAAATGCAATTTAAGGTATGTTTTATATGCAGGAAAAAATCAGAAACCCAAAAAAAAGATAATGTTTATTAACAAATTTTGAAAATAAATAAATTTAAATTTAAATTTACAGACAAGATGCTTTAAAAAATCAGTTTCTCCGAAAGAGGGGAAAACCGAGATCGCCCAGTCACGCACTCGCATTTTCGCGACAATTACGCCGAGTCTGAAGCTAATGGGATTCGGGATT